ATTATTCAAAAACCTTCTTAATAATGCAGAATAGCACAATGGATTTGTGTAATTTTATTCCCTGTTGAAGCAGCTGAGCAATTGAGCAATCTGATAATTTTCTTAACAGTGACGTGGCAATCATTTGCTACAAGACCTTTGTCACAGGTTTCTTTTCCATTTCTGATGTCTCTCTGCTCAGTTACATCTCCCCTTGCATTCAGCTACAGGGCTGTGCTTGTGCTGCTGCCTGTCGTTGCTGGGATACCTCTGATGCTTTGGAAGCCATGCCCTCCCCAGCACGTGTGTCACTGGACAAATTTAGGCTCCTCGATGTTAAGCACTAAGCCATGATGACAGAGAACAAAAGGTCCAAGAATAGCTTGTGCTAAAGGCAACATTTTCATTTGCTTCATAATAATTTTTACTTGTTGGGTCTCAGAACCTTGGAGGAGCTTGGTAGCTGTTTCCTAGCAAGAGCAGAAATGTTGCAGTGCAAGAGCAAGACTTGAGGGTGAACGGGACAAAACGAGCATGCGTCTTGCTCATGAGCAGCTTCTCGGGGCCGCGGGCAGGTTATCAAGCCACGCAGAACCGCTGCTCCCTTTGCCCCATCTCGTGGAACAAAGCCGCCCGGCCGCCAGCAGGGGGCGCGCCCGCACTGCTGTTGCCCGGAAGGCCCCGCCCGGGCAATGAGGCCGGGCCGGGCGGGGCGCAAAGGGGCGGCCGCGTTGCTTGGCGGCGGGGAGCGAGGGGGGTCGGCGCCTCCGGGGTGCGCTCGTGTCTACGGGTAGGAAGAGCATTTAGTAACGGGACCGGCGGTCCTGGACTGAAGGCTTCTGAGAACTGCCATAATTGACGATTTCAACTGGTTATGTACTGGAGCTTGCTTTATGTCAAGGAACGCTTTTATCTCCCATCAATTTTTGGCAACAGAAAGATATTGTACAACATACTCTTGAAGCAATCGGGATGTTAGGTAACTGTACCAGAAGGAAACTTGCAGAAAAAGAAACTTACTGATAACATGGAGTAAAGCACTATGCCAGTTCGCTGCTCATTGAGGGTCTTTTTTTTTAATTTAACAGCAAGCTGCTGTGGGTGCATTGTTTTTTTTCTTAGCACTATTTTACCTCTTGAATTTGTAAAGAAGAAAGTTCAGAGAGGCCTTCACTTCATTTTACAGTACACAGTTTTCCCCAAGAAATCTCAGATGCCTTTGTCAGGCAGTGGGAAATTTCAACCATTTATTTTAACTGTCTCTTTAAACAAAGAAAAGAAAAGCCTGGGTGACATTTGCTTAAAATAAGCTTAAAAAAAAAAGAAGAAGAAGAATATTTACAGTGATACTTCTGCAGGAGCCAATTCAAATTAGCCTTTCAGGCATGTGAGGAGCAGCTGAGGTCCCTGGGTTTGCTCTGCCCAGAGCAGAGGAGCTGGGCAGAGCCTGATGGCGGCTGCAGCTCCTCACAGGGAGCAGAGGGGCAGCGCTGAGCTCTGCTCTTTGGTGACCATCTCCACTAACTTAACGTGGTGTATAAATCTGGTGAGGGTTTTGGGGATTGAACTTACTGATGGAATAAAGATCCTTGATAATGCTGAAGGACTTGTACTTGAAAACATAAGTATGGATAAGGATGATACAACAGGTAATTTCCCCTCTGCTATTTCACACCATAATCAAGCATATAATGTTAGGAATCTGAAGGTTTTAACAAGTTGATCTGAAGTTTGTACACTATTATTCTTATCATATAGTTTAGAGAAGCTACTTCTTACACATTTCCACTGAGGTCTTGCTATCTTGTTTGCTGGTTGTCATGAAGTACTAGAGTGCTCCTTTCAAGTTGGTAATGCATACTGTAGTCAAACAAACCTGTCATACCAATCCCAGGTCCAGCACGAAGCTTATGTCAGGAGGTTGTGAAGACAATACCACTACTTTTCATGACCTATTGATGACAGTCTGCATGGTCAGTCACTGGATGCCAAGGTATGAAGTTTGAATAACGTTTGCCAGGGCCACACAACACAGTATCTGAAGTGGAGAAGGCAATTCATACGTCTACCAATGTTCTCTTTGAAGGCATAGTAACTGAATGCTCCTTCTTGATTTGTTCCACAGGAAGATCATATTTGATCGTCTATGAATTACCTTCTCTGGGCTGAGGGGCAGTTTATATTGATTACATGATATAGTAACAGAGTAAGAGGCAGTGTTTATCATTTTCTGCAAACAAAAGCTATCATATATATATATGATGGCGTTCAAATATAAATAACTGTGATAAGCCAGGCAGTAATATCTAATCCTGTCCATCCATTTGGTGTAACCAAAACATTATAAGCATATCAGGAGTATACACCTAACAGTATGACCTGTTGGTTTTTTGTTTGTTTGTTTTCATTTCATTTCATTTCATTTCATTTCATTTCATTTCATTCATAGCTGAATGTATGAGGAATTTGAGAAAGATATGTTTATTATACATAACTCATCTGACATTTGTTGTGGATGGACAAATCTACATTACTAGATCAATTTCGGATGAACGGAGTGACTGACAGTTAAGACATGATATCAAACCAGAGAGATCCATTAGACCTCATAACCAATAGGATGTGGACAGGTGTTTGAAGTAATCAGGGTATCTTCAAAGCAGATCAGTTTCAATGTAAAGATATGTAGAAAAACAGAGATTTAGAAAGAAGCTAGCAGAAGATTGTTAATAGCTGTTCCTGAAGCTGAAAAAGAAAGCATAGCAGTCCAAAAGGCAGCTTTGTAAGAATAAGATCCTGGGGAAATGGTAATAAAATTCAGGAATGAAGATGAGTGATCCTTTTTCGAAGATAATTGCAATTAAGGAACATTAAGGAGAAGCTCAGAGCAAACCAGGATCTTGGATGAGATATTAAGAAATAGGAATCTCCAAGAAAATATTTCTTTGTATTCCAAGAGCTTGTGGCATTTTATTTGCTGTTGACATCTTGAAATAATAGGACTAAGCTGGAAACCTGAGCCATAGAGGCCATAGAGGAGGAAGATTTGGGTACAGCTTAGAAACAGACAGATGAGGGCTTTTGTCTGATATTCTGCCAAAAACCGTAGAGCTGTGCTGAGCACTGAGGCAATCAGGTATAACTAGGAAATGTAGTTATAGAAAGGGAAAGGAGAAGAAAAGGAAAAAGAAAAACAAATCAATGAAGTCACAAAAATGAACAAGTCACATTTTTCAGAGAGTTTGGGACAAATCTGTACAAGTTTAGTCTGACAGTGCTACCCAATTGAACTGCATCCTTCACTTGTTTTTAGACACCAATGCTATTCAGCCTTACCCTTCCAGCTTGAAAACTCTTGTGTTTTCAATGAGAAAAACAAAAACAAGGAGAAAATAAATGCAGATAATTTAATTATTGAAATTAAAGGACTCCCTCTTCTCCCCAGTGTGTTGTGTTGTCTCATATCCCAGAGTCACATTTCCAGAGAGAATGCTTTACCTTCACTTTGTGTTGATATAAATAAATGCATACAGTACAGAGCAATAGGAAATCAGGCACAAGAAATGTGGAAGATCATGTTGTACAGAGAACTGGAGTGTGCTCCTTATCTTTTGAGATTGGAAGGTGTGGAGCAAGATGAACAGCGAAGTACCAAATGTAGTCCCTTTATTTTTGGTATGTTGTGGTCAGGTCTTTGTTGGTACTGTTGCCAGGGGGACAAAAAGCAAGCAGCCAAAAAGAAAAGGTTTAACCACTTCCAAAAATGAGCACTTGAGCCTTTGGAAGACAATTTCGAAGAGGAATCAAAAGTAGTTGGTAGTCTCAGTCCTACTGGAAGCAAGGCCAAAAATAAGTTATTCCAAACACAGTGGAATCAGTGATTAGGCTTT